CTTGTCAATGTGCAGAATAACACCATGTTGCTCATAAATACTCCATATTAGACACATATAAATTATTAAATTAAAGGTCATGTCTGTATACCAATAGAAAAAATATAATCGTTCGAGGAATACAAAACTGTATTATAAAATAATCGATTCGGCGGACATCAACACGAAAAAGTAAGAATAGTCAGCGGAAAATAGTTTCCTCGACTGCCATTGTAAACATTTTTATTGAAATGCTCAATAAAAAAAAGTAATACCACATCTACAATACGGAATGAAATAGAAAACGTGTCGAAAGTAATCGATCAGCCAACTGGTAGTTTTGCCGATTGAATCGATAGCGGTGTTTATAAATAAATCAGGTATGTGAGTTAATCCATTATCTCGGATTATTGCGCTGTGCGATAACGCGTTTATTACTGGCTATAGTTGATATGAAGTTAAGGACAAATTCATATTGGACGCATGACTGCAACGTACACATGCCTATCGTAATATTTATACAAACATCTGTCTCAATTATAGTACTTCAATTGTATAATTATAGCTCTATGTAGTTTTCAATTAAATTACTTATAATAGAGTAAAATTTGAATACTTGTAAATTGATGATCACTATTACATTTAATAATTTTCTGTTTAATTTCTGTTAAATAATATCATTTATTTTATACATTTAGTATAGGTATTTTTAATTGCAATCAATATAACTTGAATTTAATACAATATTTTTTTGAAGTCTCTTTTTTATTGACTCGCTTGTATTGTAGATTCGTCACGAGCCGAACGCAGTTTGTTTGGCGTGTTGGACGCACGCGCCATTCTAACTATACCTTTTAAAGTGAACTACTGTGATTGAATTTTGTTTTTAAATCTATCTGTTGATTAATTTTATGATACTTGGTTTTGTATCGATTTAAGGTTATAGTATCAGATTAAATGTGTAAGTTGGTCGTTGTTATGTTTCTATTAAATTAAAGATTTTGTAAAATTATGTAATGAATAAAGTAATAGATTTTAATTTGTTAGCAGTTTTATTAAATTAATAGTTGATTGAATAATTTCACATCGCTTATTACGACGGTTGCGTAATAAGCGCAATGCTATGCAATAGGATATGCAATCTTTTTTCTATATCTCGAGCTTCTCCGTGATAAGGAAGATACATTAAGTAGGTAATTAGTTTGGTTCTTATCTACAGTGGTTAGTACTCACATATCTATACTTTCTAGTGTGCTTTTAAGACCTAACCTTTGTTAACATCTCAAGATCTAAACATGAAGACTATATTCAAGGAAGCAACTACCTGGTGCGATGATGGCAGAATATTTTCTAATTGCTTACGCAAATTACTTGCCTACACGTTACTTCATATAATTTTCTCACGGTTATTGTATTTGCACTCAACGCCTTGAATAATTACCATGTCGCTTTTATACCACAAAGTAACAAACAACAAAGTGTACAGCGAATCATCTCGGACACCGTTACTGATACGAAATGATGAATCTAAAATTGTTTTGAAACAAATATAAAAAGGTACTAAGCGCAATTACAAATGCTGGTACATAGAAAGTGGCTCGTGCCAAGTTCTGTCTGTTGCGACAAAAACGCCCGCCAGTTTATAGTGTATAAATAATCCGTGCAATTAGACACGTACGTCGAGTCAGGTGAAATACTCCGTGGTTCAATTTGCGCCTGCGCCGGTCACAATGCCCCTATCCGAACCAAATTACGCAGCCACGAGCCAACACACCATTGTACGTCTATTACCGCCCACCGATCCGCTAAGATCACGTTTTTTTTACCCATCACAGATTTTCACTGGAATATTACTTATCATTTCTAGAGATGTAACAAAAAAATTATGATCATCATTCGTATATATCGTACTATCCGTGAAAGTTCATTACACAGCGTATTTGATAATATCAGAACTCTATGAGGAGCTCTGTCTATTATGGCCGCTGTCAGGAGCGTTTTGATTAGATATATTTTTTGTTCGCGTAATAAAATGATCTAAGTGCATGTTCGAGCAACCGCTGGACAGACGCGCGCGTGCCGGCGACCCGTAATAGGCTCCATCTCGCGGATAAAGCGGCGACACCGTTACCTTTCTCAAATCACGTACACTATTGTAATATCCAATCGCCCAGAAATGAGATTGCGGCTAACAAGTTATTTACATTGACGTTTTAATATGGACGCCGCCTGAAAAAACTATTTAAAAAGGTAATTATAACGTGGTACTCGTAATAGCCACCGTACGCGCGGGCACGTCGCCTTTGTGACGGAGCTAAGCCCGCGAGATTAATTTTGGCGGCACAATGAACCAGTTTATAGTCAATAATACGTGTCTTAATAAGAATCAGTTGCGATATTTGCTTGTCAATTCTATAGTTTCGAAAGCGGTCGGTCCGAGAGCGCTCCTGGGCTGAGTCGATAGGATCTTTATTACGGTGCACCTTTTTTTTGGGAGAAAAAGTGATTAATATAAGGGATCGACTCGGACGGATAAGTAGTGGAGATTGACGGAATAACGCGGGGTCTGTGACCGTGTGGGGGGAGGGGTGGAGGCGGGCGGGGTGCCTGGCGAAAAGCCGCGAGGC